GTCGTGGGGGCCTGTCCCCGGTGCGGCCTGTGCGGGAGCGCAAAACGCCTTTGGGGCTATGTGACAGGGCCGCAGCACGGGGTGCGTGGAGGGGGCAGGAGCAGTCGGTTGAGTAGCTTGTGGGGATAGACAGATGTCTGAGGAGCAATGGGAGTTAGCCAAGGCGTGTGGAAAGGCATCAAAAAATTGTGTCTGGGACACAGTCTGTGAAACTGTCGCTGAGTTCTGAAGGCAGCTTTGGGCTGAGCACCGTGCATGGAGTCATGCAGGAGTGAAGCGAGAGGGGAAGGCGGCATGTCTAGGGGCAACTAAAAGGTTCATGCTGTAATACTAGTTTTTCTGAGAGAACCCTTGGTATCAGTGCAGGCTGGGAGATGAAGGGATGGCGAGCAGCCCTGCCAAGAAGGACTTGGGGGTCCTGGTGGATGAAAAGCTGGACATGAGCCGGCAATGTGTGCTTGCAGCCCAGAAGGCCAACCACATCCTGGGCTGCACCCAAAGCAGCGTGGCCAGCAAGTCAAGGGAGGGGATTCTGCCCCTCTGCTCCGCTCTGGGGAGACCCCCCTGCAGTGTTGCGTCCAGCTCTGGAGCCCTCGGCACAGGAGAGACATGGACCTGTTGGAGTGGGGCCAGAGGAGGCCACCAAAATGCTCAGAGGGCTGGAACAGCTCTGCTGGGAGGCCAGGCTGGGAGAGTTGGGGTTGTTCAGCCTGGAGAAGAGAAGGCTCCAGGGAGACCGTATTGCAGCCTGCTAGGGCTTAAAGGAGGATCATAAGAAAGATGGGGACAGATTTTTTAACAGTGCTTGCTGTGATAGGACAAGGGGTAATGGTTTTAAACTAGAAGAGGGGAGATTTTGACTAAAACTGAAAGAAGAATAATTTTTTCCCAATAAGGGTGGTGAGACACTGGCCCAGGTTGTGCAGAGAGGTGGTCGATGCCCCATCCCTGGAACCATTCCAGGTCAGGTTGGACAGGGCTCTGAGCAACCTGCTGTAGTTGAAGATGCCCCTGCTTACTGCAGGGGGGTTGGACTAGATGGCCTTTAAAGGTCCCTTCCAACCCAAAGATTCTATGAGATACATAGACATACATATATATTTTCAATCTAGTGGGAAAAAAAAAAATCCAGTAACGCATTTAAAGGACAAAGAGCTGTGTGTTTAAAAGCTATTAACGCTTAGTAAAAAAAGAATGTTTTACTCTGCAGTAAATTTTAGAGTTCTTTTAAATTATTTGTACATAGTACTCAGTGTTCATGCACTTAAATACAAATCTTTCCTTTGTCTCCTTAATCGTAAATCTTATACAGACTTTGGTTTGGATACTACAGCTGGGTTAGTTATAGTCACTTCTTCAGAGTAGATACAAGGCGGCACATAACTTTATCTAGCAGTGATACAATATAACTTCCCTGTGTTTATAATGATGGAAAGCTTTTGAGTAAAAGTCTAGATAAGATACAGAACAACATTTTGGTTAATGCAGAGCGCCAGCAGTGGGAAGAGTTTCAAATAAGCATGGATTTAGAAGTAACAGGGCTTTTTAGATAACAAAGAATCTGTCAGAACAGAATCTGTAACATGGAAAGCCCCATAAAAATAAGATGAAGGGAAAAATATGCTTGAAATAAAGTAGGAGCAGCAGTGAAATATCTTGTGGGAAGGCATTCACATAATAAAGGGGGTGTATATTTAATACCTATCTCTGAGGTATTGGGTACAAACATCATATTGCATTGTTTGCCAGTTACTTGCCTGGTGAACCAACAAATTCATTCTGAACAACTAGTTGTGGTGGTTTTATTTTTAGTGTATCAATATGCACAGCTTCCTAGTTATAGTAATTAAGATTGATGAGTCCTAGTTAGTATAGATTTCCTTTGGAAAAGGGATTGATGGTTTCTGATGTGTGCTGCAACCAAGCTATCAAAAGAACCCAGCTTTTTGTTGCAACATCCATGCAACTTTGCTATGATGAAAGAAATTAAAATTATAATATTGCATGATAAACCAATTAGGTTAAGTTTAAATCCCACATTGCCACTTCCAGGTTTTGCTGCCACATTCATTAGGAAGTCATATGATGTCAGAAGAGTTGAAATCACTCCCCTGGAGCAGAGGAAGGTAACTTTTGATACCCATGCTTTAGTGCAAGATCTGGAAGCCCATGGTAAGTGATATCTGATAAATAATTCCAGGAAAACTTTACGTACTAAAACTTTGAGTGCCATCAATTTTCCCAAAGTACCAATACTTCGCATTATAAATTGTTTTGGCAGCCTCTCAAGGAGGCTGGTGAAGGAGAGCCATCTGACACTGTTTCATGCCTTTGTAACCATACACATAACTATTACATTAGATTTACCTTATTTGTAGCTCTAGGCAAGTTTATATAATGCTTCCAGCCAAGGAACATAGAGTTAACAAATGTAAAGTAACAGTAACAGTTAAAGAACTGTTTTCTAGCAAAAAGGAAGCTATGACAGAAGTTCCTTCTACTAGCCTGCTAATAGTAACTTAAGTTTTTTTCCTAAGTAGATATATTTGCAGCAGCATAGTGCTGTGATACATTCTTAATACCTGCACTTTTATTCTGTGATTGTGGCTGTCTGAAGTTAGATGAAAGGTCCATCTAGCCCTGGGTTCTGTCTGCTGACAGCAGCTGTGAGTCAGTGCCTGCAAAAGAGTGTTAAAATAGGGCAGATGTATGTGACACATCCTCCTGTACTTTCTAAGCCTCCAGCTCTGTTCACCCTGGAGGTATTTTGAGTCAGATGTGAGTTTTAGTAAGTGGAATTCTTTGCACAAGCTTACTCAGTCGCTGGACCACTATAAACTGGTTAGTACCCAAAATATCCTTTCTTACAGAATTTCAGACATCTACTCCTTTTATTTATGCAGAACCTGGCTTCTGCGAGGGTAATTTGATGCCCGCTCAGCTCTTTTGTGGGAAGAGGGAATGCATATTTGATCTCTTATGTTACTCATGATTATGTAAACTTCTGTCATATTCCTCCATGATTCTTTTCCAAATAGAAGAGTCCTAGCAGGTTGAATTTTTCCTTGAGCAGTAGCTTTTCCATGCTTCTGATCATTCCTGATGCTCTTCTGTGAATCTTTTCCACTTCTATTGCATCCAGTTTCAAAGGCGAGGGAAGAGCTGCTGACACTCTTTGACAACTGAATGTCCCATGGATTTCAACAGTGACATAATGTTGTGTCTATTTTGTTCTCTGCTCCTTTTCTTAGTAATTCCTAAGGGTGTGGTTTGCTTTACTGATTCCTACTAAGCATTGAGTTGATATCTTCATCAGACTAGCAACTGTCTTTTAAAATCCCAAGATCTTTCTCCTAAGTGACAGTTGGAACCTGATCCAGTCTGAGGTTAGGGTTTTTTCCACTATTTGGGTCTAATAATAATATGTATTACTAGTTAGAAGACTCCTAACAGTCCACTAACAATATTTATTTTTTTCATGCATGTCAGACTTGTCAGCCTGTAGTTCCCTACATCCTTTCTAGAACTGTTTAAAAACTGGCTTTGTATTTGCCATTTTCCAGTGCTCGGGTAATGGAGGTAGTTTGTGAGACACTACTGGTCCCCAGTACTAATTCAGCTATTTCTTCTTTGAGTTCCTTTAGAACTCATGGGGTGAAGTCTGTCTGGTGCTGGTACACTGTGTTATTCAGTTTAATTTGTTCCAGAACTTCTACAAATACTTCAGTACCACAGTGACAGGGCTCTATAGGTAAAACCTATACATATCACAAAAGTGAGAGAAGCATTGCTTCACAGTCTTGCTGCAGGCAGTTTTCAGGCTCCATTCTCTTGCTTATATGAATTCTTCCACATTTTCCAAATTTCAATGCAACAAGGACAGTTCCTGCTGTAGAGAAAGAACAAAACAATGAACTGGCAAAAACCTAAGTAACCCTGAAAATTCAGAGGAACTGAAGCAATACTACCACACCTCTTAGTGGAAGGAAACTGTCATAAAGCATGCGTAGCTTTTTTAGTAATGTAAACCAATGGTGCAGCTTGACAGCACCACTATTTTAGAAGGGAGCAGTGGCATATTTCTCTACATAATGAGAGAAATGAAAGCATTTTTCAACACAAAGTTGATTGATCCCACTTTATAAAATGGTCTAGTTGAAACACAACATGTCAGTGAGACTGCTGGAAATAAATCTTTACGGCAAAAGCTCTCGGCACTAGATCAGGTATGGCTAAAATGACAGCTGGGGGGGGATTCTACTATTGATTGCACATCATCTTTAACACTTCGGAATTGCACCAAGCTATAGACAAAGTGTAATTTTTATCATCAGAAAATAAAAATCCCAGTTTTAATTCATCCTGCAGGCAATGCAGCAGTTTTAAAATTAGTTTTGCATGTGTTCATCTCTGTGCAGAACAATTTCAGTGTATGCAGACTTACCTTTTAATTTTATTATTCTATCAGATGCATGCGTTGTAGCTCAAGGTAAGTTTGGTTTTAACAGAATTTGTGAAGGTTCATTATAAAGTAAAATTTTGCTGAATTACTTCTATAATGCAAGAACAATGCACACAATGCAACCAATGTACAGAAATTTGGTCCTCGTGTCTGCTGCATGCACAGACTGTTTCAGTATATTGAAAGTTAATGTGCTTCATGTTTTTGTAGCATTGTCTGTGTTTTTTTCTGTTTAAAATTTACGTTACTGGCTCCTCGCTGTCAGTTTTCAGTAACTGTGTGACTTCCCATTGCTACTGTAGTTAGGTACAGTGCTTGAGTGTCCCAGTTTATTACGTACCTCTTGCTCTTCTCTTCATCCAGCTTTCTAATAATGACCTTAACTTGTCATCCTTCAACTGTCTTCTAGGCTTTGGGAAGGAACAAGCGGAGACCATCGTATCAGCATTAATAACCCTGTCGAATGTCAGCTTAGACACAGTCTATAAGGATATGGTTACACAGGCTCAGCAGGTAAAAAGTAATCTACTGCGTATGTATACAGCATTTTGTGGCTATAGTGCCTCAGATTTGCGTATTTAAAAGACAAGTGAACAACTGTCTATAGTACTATGAACACTTCACTTTCCTAAGTTTCAGGGTGGTACTGAGAACAGTGATCTCTTACACCTTTTGTTTCACAGGAGTGTTTTCCAAATGCAGCCACAATGTATAAATATAATGCAGAGATTGCTTCATTGGCTACTGAGGAGCTCTGTGGTGACACCAGACTTTTAACTGTACTTTACAGCGGTTGAGGGCAGAAGAGAGATGCAAGGAGGGGTTCCTGAGCAATAGCAAGACCACCTAAAATATCAGAAAACTGTCAGTGTCTTTACTGTAGTAAAGATGTGAACTCTGTTCTGAGATACACTGTGTTTGTCCTATTTTCCTATTCATAAACTAAAAACTACTATTAAAACTATTTCATTATTTTACTCTGCATTTCAGGTTCTAAAACTATACCTGTAGCAAAAGCTAAACATGGCTAGGGTGTGGGCTCAAACACCACCACGTGGTCGTCTGAAGTGTTCAACAGTTACTGCAGCACCTTGGCTTGATTTTGACCTGTGCCAACTCGGCTCCCCGACCTGGGCACAATTTACCTGAAAGTGCAGGGCCAGGAACTGTTCCTACCGGGCAGGGTGGACAGAGCCATCCTGGTTTAGGAGGAAGACATTTTAGCCATCTGGATGTAATCTGTGGTGTGTCATGTGCCCTCGGGGACAGAAGCGCGCTCTGAATTGTCTGGTTGTTGGTGTAAACCTAGCTGTTTGCCCCGGTCAGGTCAACACCTCAGCCTGCACTCAAGCAAAAAGTATCGAGGTGTCTCCTACATTTAGATATTCAAGCTCATGTCCGTGGCCATATCTGAAGGCAGTGAATCAGTTCACGGATGGTTTTTCTGCTGATAATAGAGGTGGTGACAAGTTTTGTTTTAACAAATTGCCAAAATAAAAAGAACTTCAGTTTTTCTTGTAGGCCAGACATCTGGCCTAAGATAATAAAGCTCTGATGCACAGTAATGGTTTTAATAATTACTTAGGAGGGCTGTGCAAGCTGAAATTATGTGCCATTCCTCTTCAGTGAGTTAATGCAATTAAGCATTCATTGCTATTTTATTTAAACTGCTGAGCCTTACTTCCAACACATTTATATCTTACTGGCATTTATTTCTAATAAAAGTTATTGAACTTTTTTTTTTCTGTAAGTCTGAGAAGACAACGTAACCGGGAGCGGCTCCCCTGCCCCCCCCCCCCCCCCCCCACCAAAATGGAAACCTTTCTTTTTGGAAATCCTATTGTGTGTAAAGAAAGTCAGTTTCCCAAATATAATTTGCATGGAAACAGGCAGAAACACTGGTTTTTTTATACTGTAGTCAGTGTTGAGACTGAATGTTTTAAGGTGGGATAAGGCAAAGTAGCTCCTCAATGTAAATGCGACGGAAATTTCCCAGGAATTGTAAAAACTTCATTGTGTTTGGCGGAGTAGTCAGACTTCAGTGGAAGTTGCGTCAGGGCATATTTTAATGAATTCAGTTCAACATAGGATCTGAGAAATACTGTTTGCTTGTAGTCTGAATGAGAGCTCTTCGTTTTGCTGGCAATTCTGAACTTGTTAGGCCAAACACCAGGAAGCCTTTTTTCAGTGTTTTTTAGCAATGTTTTACTAGTGTCCATCAGACTTGAACACTAAGAGGACAGTGTGATACTTGTATCATTAAGTCTTTGGCTTTTGATGACGTTGTGGGCAAGAAATGGAAGTGCTTACTTAGGAACTGGATTCAAACGTTCATTAATGGTTCATAGGCTACGGAACGCTCGTTGAAAACAGAAGAGAATGAAGGGCTAACCTGTAGTTTTGGGTCTATTTCATTTCATAGCTACTTAGACTAATACCTCTAGCTTTTTTGCTTAAATTCAGAATTAGTGTATTAAAGCAACAGAAAAAGCACAAAACAAAAGCCTCTTGAGTCTTTCAAACAAATTGCAGCTATAAAATTCTGTTTCTGTCACTTTCTTGTTGAAGAGTCTCACCATTTTTGTGTTTTGCAGCAGCTAATTTCATAATTTCAGACCTAAAACTCCTTACTTTACTTACCAGAAACGATGCAGCTTAATCATTGACATGTTTTATTGTTTCTAAGGAAATAACTTTACAGCAGATAATGGCACATTTGGACTCCATTCGAAAAGATATGGTCATCCTGGAGAAAAGTGAATTCGCAAACTTGAGAGCAGAGAATGAGGTACTAATAAATATTTTTAATTAAGCAGTTTAATTGTAATAGATGTTGGGTTATACCTGTTGTACATTCTTGTGGAACAAAACATGAATGTAAAAGTAATTTTTTAAAAATGGATACTTTTATCAAGAGTTTAAGTGTTTGTAGATTACAACTTCTATGATAATATAAAAATATACTTCAAATTATAAGACTAGCTCAGTTCTTCTGTAAAGAAAAAAAAAATCTACACATCTTAGAATCTTCCATAATTTTATTTAAGGATTATTCTGGTACAGTCTTGTCACCATTAACCATACAATGCAGGGAGAGTAGTCAGCCATTTCTTTACAACAATTTAATTAAACTGGTGATTGAGACACGTTTCACTTTTGCTTGATAGCATTTTGGTATTTTTCTGCTGTCTTTAATTTCAGAATAAAACTATCATCATTGTTACAAAATAACCTTTTATTTTGAGGAAAATTCACAGCAGAATATATGTGGCTATACAGATTGAACACACTAGTTGGGTTATTTAATCAAGAACAAATTGCTCTGTTGGGAGAATAATCAGGGAAAAGTAATTGCATGCATGCAGTGGTAACACTTACATGACTGATTAACTTGGTCAGCAGTTTTCTGAATTTGTAAAATCATTTTTTTTTTTCCTCCTCTGCACCTAGAAAATGAAAATTGAATTAGATCAAGTTAAACAGCAGCTAATGGTAAGTAAACAGCAAGTACCTACACACGCCTACTGGGGAAAGTAAATAGTTATTTTAGAATCATAGAATAGTTTGCGTTGGAAGGGACCTTTAAAGGCCGTCTAGTCCAGCCCCCATAAAGTGAGCAACTAGATCAGGTTGCTCAGAGCCCCGTCCAGCCTGACCTGGAGTGTTTTCAGGGGTGGGGCATCTACCACCTCTCTGGGCAACCTGGGCTAGTGTCTCACTGTCAAAAATTTCTGCCTCAGATCTACTCTGAATCTCCTCTTTTTTAGTTTAAAACTGTTACCCCTTGTCCTATCACAACAGGCCCTGCTAAAAAGCCTGTCCCCATCTTTCTTATCAGCCCCCTTTAAGTCCTGGCAGGCTGCAAGAAGGTCTCCCCAGAGCCTTCTCTTCTCCAGGCTGAACAACCCCAACTGTCTCAGCCTGGCCTCCCAGCAGAGCTGTTCCAGCCCTCGGAGCATTTTGGTGGCCGCCTCTGGCCCCACTCCAACAGGTCCATGTCTCTACCTGTGCCGAGGGCTCCAGAGCTGGACGCAGCACTGCAGGGGGGTCTCCCCAGAGCGGGGCAGAGGGGCAGAATCCCCTCCCTCACCCTGCTGGCCACGTGGCTTTGGATGCATCCCAGGAGACGGTTGGCCTTCTGGGCTGTGAGCGCACATTGCCGGCTCATGTCCAGCTTTTCACCCACCAGGACCCCCAAGTCCTCGGCAGGGCTGCTCTCCATCTCTTCATCCCCCAGCCTGGAGTGATACTGGGTCATGTCCCAACACAGGTGCAGGACCCTGCACTTGGCCTTGTTGAACCTCATGAGGTTCACACAGGCCCACTTCTTGATTTTCATAATCTTTTTTTGTGTTAAAGAATGAAACTGGTAAAATCCGAGCTGACAGCAAGCTAGACATAAACCTGGAACGGAGCAGAGTGACGGATATGGTAAGCTGGTCTATGAAGATAACCTTTTCAGTTCTGTGTTGTCTTTTCTGTTACTACAGTTGTAATTTATCTTTTATCCACAGTTTACAGATCAGGAGAGGAAACTGATGGAAGCAACTACAGAGTTTCATAAAAAAGTAAGTCTTGAACAAAGCTCATTTTCTATTGAGCCAGATGCAGTTACACATCACATGTTGTGTAACCCCCAAACTTTCGTGAAAGTTAATAGACTTTTGAATGTGGTAACGCAAAAGGCTGCGCTGTATCACTCTCAGCTCCTGCACATGCCTGTTGCCTAGGTCTGTGGGATTTGCAGGAAGAATTCCGCAGAAGGATTGTATGTATCCCACATTCAGGCAGGAGTCATACAAGCCTTGTCTCTCGCTTCCCGAGTATCTTATGCGCAGGCTGTTACAGGTGGGATGTGCGCTGCTGTGCTGCCCTTCGCAGTATTAACAGATGAGCTGATCAGCTGTACCAGAGGGGTGGTTCAGGCGGCTACCACCAAGCAAATATTTCAAGGGCAGGATGTCCTCAAAGCTGCTAGCAGGCGCTGAAGTCCAAGAGGCTGATGATGGACACATCCCATCTTCAGCATCTCCTCCCTTTTCTGGATATGGCTTGTAAATGCTTAAACCTTTGTTTCGTGAAAATTTAGGTGTCCTATCTATTTGCTGTAGAGCTTCCTTTAGGAGGCACAGGCGTATCAGAGACAAAAGTCTGCATGATCTGAGTTTTCTCTTTCTATATCCCTCTTTAATATTCTTCCTGGATTGTATTAAATGCTGTTCTGTCTCTTCTAAGGTCTCTTACCAGCTCTGTATTTTACTTCAGTGATAAGTTGGAAATTTGTTTCTCTTGTTTCTGGTAGCATGGTATTGTTGTTTGGCTTTGCAAAGCTGAAAGGGCTAGAGACCACTGTCAAATATGTGCTCTCTTTTAATGTTTCAGGATTCAAGTACCAACAGTGTTATCTCAGAAATCAGTAATAAAATTGACACTGAAATAGCCTCCTTAAAAACACTCATGGAATCGAATAAACTCGATACAATACGTTATTTGGCAGGTATGTAATAGGCAAGGAGGTGAGTACCAGTATTGCATTTTGGATGTATAAAACCTTATTCAAAAGTATATGCTAAATGAATTCAAGAGGTCAGATGTGTAGCAGCAGACAACTGGGATTGGGTGGGGGAAATCCCCCACCCAGAGGGAAGAAATGTGACATAGAACACAGAAGAGATGGGAACATACAGACTCTGCTGCAGTTGGGACTAGGATTGTGCCCAGAACTGGGATTAGGAGGAATATGGACATGACTTTAAAAAAAAAAACTTACTACCTTGACTAGTTTGACAGTACCTCTGCTTGCTGCAGGGCAGCTGTTTATGTGGTGGCATTGCTACAAAAGTTCTCCTAAGGTAATTTCATTTACCCTGAAAGTTATCTGTTATTCAGGACTCGTTTGAGAATGACCAGTCCTGCCTCCCATTCAGTCCTCTGCAGACAGTTGCAGCCTGGCAGTACTGGTACTTTCCCCTGCTGAGCAGAACAAATTTCAGTCTGATTTGAGATTTGTCTTCTCGATATGTATACAGAACCAGTGGAATTTTTATTGTATTGGAGCTGGATAAAAAGAGTGTAATGCATTATATTTGGAAGTGAGAACAAGTTCCAAGGGAAACATAATTAGCATTATTCTAACACTAATTGAAACAGCAGCTTAACAAATCTGAAAGACAACTCATCAGGCTTCGGAGGTGCTGCCTAGATATCCTTATGCTGTGTCAGATACGTGTATTGTTAGTTCATTGTCATATTGTTCAGTGGGAAATCATTTTAATTACATCCTGGTACAGCCATCGTCCCTGTAACAGAATTTCTGATAGATGGGTGACAGTAGTAAAAGTTACTGTAGCCCGTTTTGCCCTGTATTATCCAGCGTAGTTACTCAGATGAGTCCCTGCAAACATAGCTCCTCAGGCTGCTGAATTCAACCTGTCTCACCACCTGGGCAGTGCTACTGTCCGGGATATTACACCTAAGACAAGTCATTGTCTTCTAAAACTATTCTATCACACCTGCAGTGATTCAGGAAGTTTAGGAGGCTCTGCTCTAAAGTTGTTACCATTCTTCCATCTGTTGCAGTTAATTTCCTGTATGTAGAAGATGATACAATTTAGCAGTCAGCTAATTATTTCCTTCCCTTTTTTTTAACAGCTTCCGTATTCACTTGCTTAGCAATAGCACTGGGATTTTACAGGTTCTGGAAATAGATCTAAATGGAATGACTGCATCAAATACAGGTGGAGGAAAGGCCACCTAAGCAACATCAGTTTGACGATCATGTTTGCGCTGTAGATAACCTTGGTACCTTTTTGTTTTGATACTCTTACTGTGCACTAAAAATGTTTTCTGCATATGTAACACTAAAGATCAAAATAATTGGGAGGGAAGGAGGCAGATAGTAATATTTCATTGTCCCCTATTTAACACTGTATTTATTTCAAAGGACTTCTTATGCTAAATCAGAAAGCGTTCCCTAATGTGTTTTAGAATTAATTTTGTTTTCTTTTTGGAACATTCTCAATGAAACATTCTCACCTCCTCTCAAAATGGAAATATTAAACATTTGATATGCCCTTGAAATGGAAATACTATTCCAAGTTAGTATTCCCAGTATGGGAATACAAATGCCAGATTCCAACAGATCTACTCTGATTCAAGTAACGTAATCTTAAATATAGGAGCTGGATTTTTTGCCTCTCTTTTCTGATGGATTGAAGCCTGGCCCTTGGTTTTTTTTACTTATTTATAAACACACACTCCAAGGCCCTTACCAAATAGTCCCTGTTCTTCTTGAAAACTGGTTTACATAAATTTAAAATCTCATGTAAAATTAAAATGTCTTCATAGATTTTTTTTTTTTAAACCTCTGTTGCAATTTCTGTAACCCCAGAGGTCAACAGAATGGGAGAACTTCTGTCTGTCTTTCTAAGGGGAAATGCCTCCACTCTCAGCAACTGTGTACAGCCCTGGGGCAGATAAGTGCACTTAACTCCTCCAAGTAGCATAGAGTATTTCCAGTAAACCCACATGTATTTTCTGGGCATAGGATCTGGCTTGTAACATGGAAATATTCAGCATCTCAGTGGTGCCAGTGTGATCCTCCTCCCATCTCTACACTCCTCTGGACTGTTCTGTAATCCTGTGGGACACACTGACTCTCCTAACTTCTGGTGGTGACCCCTCTACCTTCTGCAAGGACTTCACAGCTCGTGTTGCAGAGATGGGACATAGCAGGTGGATGCCTTCCAAAACTGAAGCAGTTACACCTTGATGAGTACAAATGCATATGCTTGGTTTGATTATTTTAATAAAATAATAATTTGAAAAATAATCTTGGATTAAACTGTTTAATTTAGCTGTTGCTAAGCTACTACCTGGACAGGAAGAGAAGTCTTTCTGCCTTTTTTTCTTTTTTAATAAAAAATGCTGCTGCTGTGATTTAAAAATATTTTCTATCCCAGAGAACTAGAGAACTGTGCTGGTTTTGGCTGGGTTAGAGTTAATTTTCTTCATAGTAGCTGGTATGGGGCTATGTTTTGCGTTTGTGCTGGAAACAGTGATGATAATACAGGGATGTTTTCATTATTGCTGAGCAGTGCTTACACAGAGTCAAGGCCTTTTCTGATCCTCACCCCACCCCACCAGTGAGGAGGGTGGGGGTGCTAGGGAAGCTGGGAAGGGGACACAGCCAGGACAGTTTACTCAGGCTGGCCAAAGGGATATTCCATACCATATGACATCATGCTCAGTAGATAAAGCTGGGGGAAGAAGAAGGAAGGGGGTGACGTTCAGAGTGATGGTGTTTGTCTTCCCAAGTCACCGTTAGGCATGGTGGAGCCCTGCTTCCCTGGAGATGGCTGAACACCTGCCTGCCCAGGGGAAGTGGTGAATGACTTCTTCCTTTTGCTTTGCTTGCATGCCTGGCTTTTCCTTTACCTGTTAAACTGTCTTTATCTCAACCCCTGAGTTTTCACACTTTTACCCTTCCTAGTCTCTTCCCCCTTCCCACTGGGCGGGGAGTGAGCAAGTGGCTGGGTGGTGCTTAGCTGCCTCCCCAGTTAAACCATGAGAATGGAAAAAATAATTCAATGAAATGCAAAGACCCACAAGTCATCTGTGGAGCTGGGCTATGCAAGCACTTTGTGTTTAGATCTAGAATATTGCTGTTCTACCTCCTTGCTCTGCCTGCCCATAATCAGAGGTTCACTCCTCAGCGTAGTCTCACAAACACTCCTCCAGGGCTGCAGGCTGGTTTCTTCTTTGCTTTCTTTTTGTCTTTGCAAGACTTGGAGGTGGTCTCAGCTTCCTGAAACAAAGGACATTGTAGCCATTAAATAGCAATCACTTAAACCTGCTACCTCATAAGACAGGATTTTAAAATATATGGCCTTGAGAACCACAGAATATTGTGCTCAAGCTGAAGGTGAGGGCAGAGCATAGTCCCAGGGCATGGGATGACAGTCACAGCAGGGTAAAATTGGAAGGCACTTTGGTTGTAGCAGTTGCTCAGAGCAGAAGCTTTTGAGAACAAACCTGCCTCAATAGAAGTTAAGTTAATGCCCAACTAGACTTTTTTAGACTGCTGCTGGTAAAAAAAAACTGACTACAGCCACTCTTCCACCCTAGAAATGGGGCACACTATGCCATAGGTTAAACCTGCCAGGGGAGTAGAATGAGTAATGTCTTAAAAGAGAGCTTTGGAAGTAGAAAGTGGTTTTTCTTCCAAGGGTGGAGGCACCTGGCTGGCCTGAGGGTCTCAGCAGCATGGAAAACACCAGTCCCAAGGATACAGTGGGGAAAGTGGGCACAGGCTAAAGGAAAGGGAAAAAAGGCCCAGGTGAGCAGGAAAGGTGCAGAAACAATCCTGCAAGGTAGGGCAGAAGGAAGAAAGTGGGTAAGGGGGATAGATAGAAGAGAGACGGAAAGCATTGTGCAACATGGTTCAGCCAGACCACATTGCGTTGCTCAAGCACACACAAGCATGTGAGAACGTAAGCTGTGAAGCTAGCATGCGGCACAAGTGTGTGGCGCAGGCAACCTGAAGGCCTCGCTGCTTCAAGTTGCAGCAATTGAATGCCATCTGGCCACACTGCACGTGCTGTTAGCCTGTGATCAGATGATGGCACCAGAAGGACTAAAATTCTTGGGACAGAAATTCCTCTGTCCTTCTCCAAGGATGTGCAGCACAACACAGTCCACAGCTCCTGCTCCCAGCTGCCTGGGGGTGGCATCACTTCAGCTCTCAAGGGGTCTGAAATGCCCTACATGTTTCACTGGCCGAATCTACACACAGCTTAAATGGTAATAAAATTGAGCTCTAAGTGCTTGTTTCCTGCTCAGAGCATGCATCGAGCATTCTTCCCCATCACTCTCAGAAAACAACCATTATCTAGTAGGAACACTCCAAGCACCTGGGCCTCAATCAAATCTGGCTGAAGGTGGCTGTAACGTCACCCCTTTTAACCAGTAACCCAATTGCTGCTCCAAAAAAATGTTTCATGTGAAGCACAGACCAGCTCCCCCCTCCTACACAATTACCCTAATAATCAGCTTATAAAGCTGTTTTTTCTCACTTACTTCCCTCTGGACCAGTGAATATTGAAATACGGTGGTCACACTGTACAGCTGCCAGCAGGGGAATGAATACAGCTCCATCTCAGAAAAGCAGACATTGTGCTGGCTAGAGCATCCTCCCTGGATGGGTATTCTCGGCTCCTCTAGGCAGAGGAAGGAGCTAAATCTGAGTCGTCCACGTTGTCAGTGACTAGAGTCCTTGCCCGACTTTTATACTGGCTCTAGCAGGGCCCTACAGACAGTGACACAGTCAAGGCAGTGCAATGGTCAAGGAAGTTAAGCAAAGTTCCAAGAACAGCAACGACAGCCCAGGCTGGCAGGGCCATGAGCCTTTTCCACTGGCTGTATCTTTAGAAGAACCGGCAGCATTACTGCACACCGGTTCCCACAATCCATAGCAGGAGGAATTTAGTTGCCTTACCCAAGGCTACTGACTAAAACTGTGACATCAGTTTGTGGGAGTTATGTGGCAGGGAAAGGTCTGAACTGTCAGCCACACCACTCAGCTTGGTGTCATCTGCAAATGTCATCGAGGGTGCACTCGATCCCACTATGTTTTGTAGTAATTTTGATTTGTGGCAATTTAGATTTGTGGCAATCTCTATTTGTGGCAATTCCGATTTGTGGCAATTTCGATTGCTACAAACCATGCAGCTGGGGTGAGGGTTGACACATCAGGTTTGAGCAGCCAGAAAGGTGGCCAAGTTAGAAGGGGAACCGTGAGGCTGGGAACCAGAAACATCCTTCAAAAGTCCAGCTGGCATCCTGGGATACCACTGATGGTAAGTAAGTGCAAAAATAAGGGACTGTAAACACAACTTACTGCCTGAAAAGGTGGAAAATAGTCTGGAAAAACAAAAAATGGTCTGAAAGGATATAAATTTCATCATCTATTGGCTGTTACTGGTGAAAAGTGGAAAATCAGAAGTAGAAGCATAAGCATCTATTGGCTGTTTGCAGAGTATCCTCCACGCTCTTAAGTTTCTATGATATAAAAAGGGCTTAATTTTTAATCCAAAATCAAGCCTCTCTCTCTGAGAACTTCCCATAATGCACATGCTTTTGCTTTCCTAAACAGGCTGAATTCTCCACACCAATTTTTGACAAGATCTTGGACTCTCGTTTGGGATGCCTGGGTGACTCTGTGTCGCCGATCATCTTGGACGTGAGATTCTCTTATTTCTTGGTCCCTCTCTGGCCCCACTTTTGGGGTTCAGTTTGTCTTCCTCTCTGGGATGGTTTGGCCCCTTCTGAAATCTGTCTAATTCACTTCATACCGATATTATATATCCCTATAGGTTATCAATCGTAAGTATATCAGCTGTTATATTGTTGGTAAGTTTGCTTCACTAATGCTAAGTTTGCAGTAACCTGCAATAGTATATACCTACTTGGTTATTGCTATAGTGTTGATTTATTAATATTTATTATATTGACTTTTATATTTATTTATTTGTTATTTATTATTTATACTGTTGCTTTACTATTGATTGCTACCCTACTATTGATTGATACTACATTATTGATTGCTAATAGCATTTTGTAATAGCTTGAGATATATATATTTATATTCACTTTATTAATCATAGGTCTACTTGCTAGTGGTGATTTTGTGGTATTTGTAGTAATCTGTAATAAAGTAGAGAAATTTAGAGGATAAAGTCCTCTGTGTCCTGGTGTATCACAGAATCCTACAAACCCACAGTTGTGATCGCTGCATGCCCGCAGGCCGGGTAACCCTTTAGGTGGTGACAACACCTCTCCTGAAACACCAGTCCAGTCTCAGATACCAGGTACCAGAGAAGGTGAACTGTCAGTCACTGCATATGCAGCATGGAAGTACTCTGGGATCAATCCACTCCCTTTTGTTAATATGAAGATATTAATACGAAGAGTATCA